CTCCCTTTTTTGAAAATAGGCACCACATTGGCCTTCTTCCAATCCTCAGGCACTTCACCAGAGCCCCAGGAGTTCTCAAAGAGCTGTGCCAGGGGGTGAGGTATGATGTCTGCCAGCTCTTTGAGTACCATTGGGTGTAAACCGTCAGGGCCGGCTGACTTGAAGGTATCCAGCCTGTCAAGGTGTTCCTTCACAAGATCAGCTTCGATGGAGGGTAACGAATCTCCCTCACCCGGGAGTAGTGCCATATATGCTTGAGTAGTGCCATACAAGGTAACGTAATTAAATGAAGAGAGATAGTTAGTCATGTTAGTCTGAGTCAGTCAGAAGGTAGGGTAGATATGCACCTTTATTAAGTAAATGAACAGGGTATGTATGCTGTGCATCTGATGAAGTGAACTTGGTACACGAAAGCTTGTGCTCTATGTAGATATGTCTTCTTTAGTTGGTCAATAAGTACATGTCTACACAGCCTTCCGACCATAATTAAACACTGTTGTACTCATAGCTGAATTTTTTACCACTGACAGGGTAGAGGCAGCAACGTCCATAGCAAAACTTCCAGAAAGACTGCAACATGCATGCAGTCTAGATTCCAATCTGGGAATCTGCTTGCTAGGCCTTCTCATTCTCCCCTTCCTTTCCCATTGCACCTCAACCAATGTATGTGGTCTTCAACAGCAAACTAAAAACAACTGAGCACATTGTTAGATGATGTCTTCGCTCGTTCGGTTCTGGAAAGCAAGCCATCCACCTTGGAGTCCTGAGGACTGATGTGTGAGTTACATGACGGAGCAGCAACATTTTTGGGGGTAATGTTCTGCATACACCTCATTTTCATTTCCATAGACATAGTAGGAATACAGTGTCCCCTTCCATTCATACTCCACTTGTGTGAGAAAAATTAACTCAATGGTTTGCCTCTGAAAAAGAAAGAGTACAAAAATAATGAATCCATGTCTTTATAGTATAGGAGGATGTATAGCCTCTCAGAATTAGATTCTCACAAGTGCTTTATATAGTATTTAACATCTTTTAAACCCTAGAGAATTACTACTTAGTATACTACCCTGGTGCAAGTGTGAATGTTAAATCCCTGTATACAGGTTGGGAATTTGAGGTGTGAAGACTTGCCAAAGTAACACACAACAATTCAGGTGCAGAACTAATATTTCAACTCAGGAGCATGTGTCTTCCACTCCCATCCTCTAACTCGACATCAATTCTCTTTTTACACCCCTTATTTTACTGAATTTCATTTAGTTACTGAATTCTTTCCCATCAAGGGTTGATTTTTTCTTGATATTCAGGTGCCTAAGAAAATCCTTTTAATATATAGCATTGTCCAGCTAAATGCAGAGCTTTTTCTCTGATGCTTGAAGAATTTTTTAAAATATCTAAACGGCAACAGTTAGACTCGATAAGCTGATACAGGGTGCATCTACACAAAATGCTTCACTGCGGAACCAACTAATTAGCTTGGCAGTTAAGCATCATTGTCTACATATCCAGGGCTTTTAGGCTGCAGTAAACTAATTAAGTCCACTGTAGGATAGTACTGCCTGACACAAGTACTATCCTACAATGGAGTAGTTAACATGCAGCAAAATACATGTGCAGGCCTGCTCCACATGTGCTGAGGTCCCAGGTGCATGTGCAAGTGCTGCGTTCAGGAGCAATATCCTGAACTGAAAATGACACCAAAATTTGGGGGGAGGTGAACACGCTAGCAGGGAGGGCGAGATTGCAGAGGGATCTGGATAGGTTACAGGGGTGGGCTAACAGGAACAGGATGCGTTTCAATACGGACAAGTGCAGGGTGCTGCACTTGGGCAGTAGGAACCAGCAGCACACTTACACAATGGGGAACTCCTTACTCGAGAGCACGGAGGCAGAAAGGGATCTTGGAGTCATTATTGACTCCAAGATGAACATGGGCCGACAATGCGAGGTCATGGTTGGCAGGGCTAACCGGACCTTGTCGTGCATCCACAGGTGCATCTCGAGTAGAGCCAAGGAGGTGATCCTCCCCCTCTATGCGACGCTGGTCAGGCCACAGCTGGAGTATTGTGTCCAGTTCTGTGCGCCCCATTTCAAGAGGGATGTGGACAACATGGAGAGGGTCCAGAGGAGGGCCACCCGCATGATCCGGGGACAACAGGGCAGACCCTACAGTGAGAGACTGCGGGACCTGAACCTATTCAGCCTCCACAAGAGAAGGCTGAGGGGGGACCTGGTGACCGTCTATAAACTCACTAGGGGGGACCAGAAGGGTTTGGGGGAGACGCTGTTTCCCCTAGCGCCCGCTGGCATAACAAGGAGTAATGGGCACAAGTTGATGGAGAGGAGGTATAGATTGGACATCCGCAAAAACTACTTCACGGTTAGGGCGGCTAGGAGCTGGAACCAACTTCCAAGGGAAGTGGTGCTGGCCCCTACCCTGGGGGTCTTTAAGAAGAGGCTGGATGCCTACCTGGCTGAACTCGTTTGAGTCCCATTTCTCTTTTTGGGGTTTTTTATTGTTCTCCCGCCCTGGCGGGGGGTCGGGCTAGAAGATCTACTAGGTCCCTTCCGACCCTTAATCTATGAATCTATGAATAAACTCCAGCACAAACTGCTCACTGTGCACCCCAGAGAGGCAAGGGTTGTTGTAGGTGATATCTTTATTGGATGAACTGCATGGTTAGGATAGACTCAAAGGGCACATCCAGATGAGCATGCACGTGCAGGAGCATGCATTTCCCGCAAAGCAAATAGTTTGTGCCACTGCTTTTTGTCCCAGAGAATGCCCCTGCATGTGCATTCCAGCGTGCAGCAAATTGACCCCAGTGGGATAAGGGAGGTGGAGTAGGAAAGACTGGGCCAGCACCTGTACTAGCCTCAGCAACCTTATCTGGGGTCCTGAGGGCCTCCCTGGGCATCAGTGGCACCGATCTGGCCACTCAAAGCCTGGCTAGCAGCCAGAATGTAGCTCTGGTTGGCCAGGCTCCATTTCTGGTGGTGCACGCTGCTGCCGCATGCATCACAGCACTTTCTGTTTTAGCAGCAGTGTTTTTGACACTGGGATGTCAAATTTTGGCACTGCAAACCACATGCCCAAAGAACTGGACCCACCCAAAGATCATATTGCTTTTGAAAGCTTGTCATGTCTATCCCAACCAGGCAGTTGGTCCAATAAAAGATATTGCCCACAAAAACCCTTGCCTCTCACACATTTCCTAGACTATCTTGGCAACAATATCACTAAGACTACCTGAAAGTGGATACAGTCTGTTTTCCACAAATTACTTGCCTTGTTGTTAGACTCGGGCTAACTCACCTGTCGCAGCACACGAGCTGCAGATGCAAACTGAGCATGGTGTTGCTGAATAGCATTTTGGGAAGCTTGATTTACGGAAGGATCGGGAAAATTCACCACAGGATAAACCTGGGGAAAAGAGAACATTTAACACAAATACAGAAGAGGGATCACAGTTGTTTCCAAATACTGGGCCCATCCCAGTCCTGGGTTTTAGGGCACATCAGCAAGCTACACCAATAGAACCACGACAGATGACACCACCCGGGGATCTTGCCCAGTCACTTCAATGGGCCTGCTTGCATGAAGGAAAGCAACCCGCTTGAATACAGTTCTGTAGGATTTCTCTCACATACCTCAAAGTAGTTGTAAAGAAAATGATAGCATTCTTTCCTGGTATCTTTCCCCAGCATTTTCCAAGCTCGAGTATGTAATTGCACTTTTTAAAAACTAAAGGGTTTGTTTTAAGGTTAAGTCAGACAGGGGGAAGTGCTGTTTTATACCCTATATAGCCCGTGTACATGGGTACAGAAAGTATTCTCTGACTTCACTGAATAGGATTCCCAGTAATGTGTTCACACTTGACTATAGCTTTGTTTGCAGCTTGTACCAAAATTGCAATGTAGTCATCATCTATCCTGAAGGAAATCAGTGTTTGTCACCTCTTTTGTAGCTGCTACAAAGGTCGGTTTGTGTAAGATGAAGCGTGCTCCAGAAACAATTTATTTACCAGGCTCTCTCTAAAGGTGGTCTCTTGTTATTGCTATTTGTACTTCAGTAACATGTGGGGTACTATTTTGCAAGGCATTGTCTGAACACAGAACCAGTTTGAAAGAGATGCCCTGCTTCTACATGAGCAGCCAGTAGGATAAGAAGAAACTGTATTTACATTTCTACATTTTCTTCTTGAAAGCTCCTGACAACATGTAAACTGGCGGAAAAAGACCTACAACCTACAAGCTGCAAAATCTGATCTGATTTCCAAAACCATAGGATTGTCCTCTATCATGAGATGTGGCCTGATTTCTGAAAGGTGCTAAACACTTCTCAGTTGCCTTGATTTCATTTGGGATTTGGGATTGCTCAGTGGCTCTGAAAATTATGCCAGCACTGTGGATTGACTAAAAAGTATTTGGCACCAAGTCCTTTTATACACACAATTTTCCTTTCTTAGTAAAGCAAAAATCAAAAGAAAACAAAAAAATACTGTACTGAAAAAGTAAGTGGTGTTGTTATATTGGTAAAGAGGAAAACAAAACACTTGGTTTTGGTTTTCAGATTCCTTCTTTGATTTTTCAAGTGTGAATTCTTTGAAACTCCAACTCAAGTAGCGCAGGTTGTTCTGTCATTGTGTCATTTTAATAGGTATCGGAGTGCAGAGTTTAACTACCATGGCTTGTTCATCAACAAATATCTTCTCTCCCCCGACAGCTTTGAAGTGTTTGGCAGGAAACCCACATTTCTGGTCCACCACATATTCAAAAATGTTATTTTTCCTATAAGGACAAGGAGACAAATATTTCTATTAGTGACTGAAAATGGATTTGAGGCCCGCTTCCTAACTTGTTCCTGTATTAAAAGATCACAATATTCCACAAAGCTGAGTTGTTAGAGGACTTCATCCATCAGTTCGTAAGTCCCCAGTAGTAGATGTTTCAGAATAAACACAAGGTTTTATTTTTATTTTTCTAATGATAACTCGGAGGCGTGCTGCTTTGGGCTTTGAGATTTACAGATTACAGTGGCAGTGAGTCCTCACTTCTGTTACCAACATCAAGGTGGCTTATTTGTCTATGTTCTTTGTACCAAAGTGAATCAACTTTGCACTTTGCTTTCCGCTTTGAAAAAGGGATTAATAAAACAATAAACATAGCAAAACTTTGTAAGCAGATGTCAGGGCCAGCACATGAATAACAAATAAGTTTTAAAGTCAAACCAGCATTAATTGAATTATAATTCAATATAGAGACCAAGAGAGTCAAACAAGATAGAGCACTAGCTTAGAATTACCCTCCAATTCTGCAGGGGGGTCCTCCCTGAATAACTATCAATGATTCAGTAATATGACATGGAGCCCATTCCTCACCTATCTTTATTTGCTGTTGGCAGAACACCAGGAGCTGAGCTGCTTACATGGGATCTGTTTAAGTATATAACTGTGATACTATATTTGGAGAAGGATTATTTTTAAGTTTCCATTCTGCCTTCTGTAAGTTTTCACAAGATCTACCCTGGCTTGCCACAAGCACATGCAAATGTGATCACACACCTACACTACCCAGGTTTCTTCAAATAAGCCTTCCTATATATATATATATATATATACACACACACACACACACACACACACACACACACACACACACACACACAGTATATATATAATAAATATATATTATTTATAATAAATATATAAAAATATATATATTATATATAGAAAATATTTTATATATATAACGTATTTTATATCTCAAATGTAGTTTGCCGTTGTGTGTGTATGAGCAGTCAGATGCTCAAAAACTCACCATGTTCTTGAAGACCCAATGTTTCCCTTCCTGCAGGACATCAACACCCCCAATCTTGCCCCCACGTCTCAGAATATTGGCCTGTTAAATACTGATTGTGTCATGGACAGAAAAAACAGAGTGGGAACTAAGACTTTCTCATTTATATGAGACTTGCCATTTGACTTGCAGCTCAGTGTAAGACAGCATTTGTCCTCTTCCTTCACAGGTGTCACATTTCTTGAGCCCCTCACCAGAGCAAATGATGCATCTGCAGGCAAAGAAAAAGAGTCTCACCATCCGTTTCATTATCACAACAGTAATTTCATATGTATTTAATCTGGTATGTGTATGTGCACACTGACATCAATTTAGGAGTCCAATCCAGATCACATGCATAATTTGGAATATGCTTTACTGCCGGGATGAATCCCCAGTGAAGGAACTGAATTCACTGAAGTTGTCACCCTACTGACTGGTAACACACAGGTAAGTATTTTCAGGGTCATGTTCTAAATAAATATTGAAAAAAAATAAAGCTCTATGTGACGTAATCAGTGTAGTCTCTTCTCTTTAACTCCACATTCACCTTCTAACAGTAATTCTCATAGCAACAGTACAATTTCACAGCAATGTATTGGGCAGCTGATGCTACCAAAACACTAAAAAAAATGTTCTCCTAGCGCAGAGATTCAGTGCTACCCTTCCGGTACGGATGATGCTTTTGCCACTGAAGCGCTATCTAAAAAAACAGAGACAATTAACCAAAGGAAAACACCATGATATACAAGTAGAGAGAGAGAGAGATCAGTCACAAGGCAAACATCCACCACATGGCTAATCAGCCTGTGGCTCTGTATACCTGTAGCGGAGTGAGCAGAAGTCCCAAAAGTCAGACAGGTCACAACAATGCATACTATTTTAGCTCACTAAGCTAATGGATAGGGAAGTCACGAAGAAATGAAGCGCCAGGTTCTAGGTCCCCCTGGGGAATTGAACCTGAACCGCCAGCATAGCACTCTAACCACCAAGCTGCAGATTAGCTAGTTCCCTTTCCAACCCTCTTCTTGAAGCTGAGCCACTTCACATTACAGCTAATATCCATTGTCTAAAATGGGTACAGAGCAGGGAGGACATTTCTGCCCCATTGGTTGCAAGGGTCCAGCCTGGAACCCAGGCTCCCCGCTTTCAAGGCAGCATCTAGCTCATGAGCCACACACTCTCCAAACTGCTCTCTGCCTCCTGGCCCTCTCCTGGCAGTCCAGAGAGTCACCTTCAAAAGGAGAACTGCAGAGGGGACTGGATAATGCCTAACCTGTGGCCTGGTGAGTACTGGACTCTGCTGGGAACTCATGCAAGTCTTAGGAAGAGACCTACAGAAATGAACCATAGTTGCATAGCAGCGATGCCAAAAAATTGAAGGAGAAACTGGTTTATTCTGACTGGTTATAATTTAAAGAAATAGCTAAACAAATACCACAATGAATTGAAACATTTAAACATTTTGTACACGAAATGCAGAAATGCTTTGATTTCCAGCATTTGGGGGGAGGGGTTGAAAGAATAAATGATGTCAAGTCCAAAAGATTTTGAGGTCATCCAATCAGCATTTTTCCACCCCAAAAATGTTGCTGGCAAAAAGCTTTGTCCAGCTCAACTTAGCACCAACCCCCTCCTAAGAATATCTCATGTTGCTTTAGTCTAATAAGTACTTACACAGCTAGGTTAGGTCACTCAGCCTCACCTGAGGGCCCAACTCAGAGCTGCCCCTGAACACAGAGGTATTTCACTTCTGCTGCTAACACGCAGTAATTAGACCCTGATGCTAATTCACCTAAAGAAGTGCTCATCTGGCTTCTCCTTAAGCATGGACTCACCTTTCGCAGCCACGTCCTGAGCAGTGTGAACACCTGTTATCATTGCCCCACGTCCGATTACCATGACACACCCAGCACTCTATCTAAATTGATTACATGGAAAAGTCAAATAAATACAATCCGACCTGGGCAGTCTGATGAGATTACAGTTACTATTTCCTTCTATGGGAAGTATAAGGACCCTGGTCAATGGGGAACCTGGTCACAGATAGCCTGTCCTCACCCCTGGAGGGGAAGGAGGCAGGTGTCAGTGCTTGGATGGCAGAGTCCCCAGCTGCCCAGCTCTGTGGCTGGACGTATACGGGGGCTGTGCAGAACCTCCCCTGCCCGGGGTCCACCAAGCAGCTGATCAGCAAAGCCCAGGCAAGCCTGCAGCCACACGGCCAGCAGAGCTGTAACTTTGTTGGCTACGGCAGCAGCAGGCTGCCTGACAGCTCACCACCGAGTGGGCTATCAGAGACCCAGCCACTCTGCCTCTGCTTCCCTTGGGTGGGAGGAAGAGCAGAGGACTCTGGGATGCTGGGGGTCCTAGATACTCCCATAGTGCTACGTGTAACTGTACAGAGATGACTGTGGCGGGGTGCAGGGCCTGGACGGGGCGGTGGTGGGGGGTGGCGAGCGGCTGGATGTGAAGCCAGCCCATCTCCACCAGGGCCCCCCATAGCAGCTCTCCCACCCCAGGACGGCCTGGGCATTACACCTAGAGCTATGAAATACAGATGTTGCTCCTTGAAAGTACAACTATTCTGTAGCGCTTTCAGCATCTCTGCAGTGCTACAAACAGCTTGAATGGCTGTATGCTCCCTTTAATCACTACAAGGATGGATTTGGCACTACAAATGTAACATCTATCCATGGCTTTAGCACCTCACTAGGCAGGTAGGCCCATTAATTGAGGTCACTGTAACCACTTGGAAAATTCCCTGAGTGAACACCTCACAACCAAGATGATTCTCCTTCCTTTCACCTCAACACTATTTGATCCCAGGTGCTTGCCCGGGTCACCTTTTAGCACCCCTCCCCAAGATGCATTCAGCACTAGGAAAGGATTCTTTTGGATGCGACGACTTACCTGACCTCGCCCGTTGCATTTCCAGCAGCGAACCCTACCTGACGCTGCACAGTCAAAACAGCCCTTAAAGTAAAAAAGAAAGACACTTCAAAGGGAAGCACATGCTTTACATTTCTTTTATTTGGTGCATACAATATTCAGTCTGGCTGCCTATCCATTCTCAAACAAAGTAATATGAAACATTCCTCCTCCACACCCCCCGTCCTATAAAACATGGACGATCAGTGATCAAAGGGTTTCACTAGGGTATCATCATAGGCGCTCATTCTTTGCACTTATCTAGGGTCGCTCATTCAAGGTTCTTGAAGAGCTGTACAGCTACATTGCAGCCCTCCTACCGCAGGTCCTACATTACACTGTGAAGTACCACATTTCTGTTCTGCAGACTGACTTTTGTGAGAGGGTCCACAAGAACATCGGCTTCAGCCCCTGCAATGTGCCACAACACAAATAGGCCAACGACCCGTCACGTGAGTGAGATGGGTGTGGGCATAGCTTCTCCCTTATCTTCTGATGATCCCCACCCATCCTTTCCCCACACCCTTTGTTACTCTTCTCCTTATGCTCCCACTCCCCTGACTCTTTTTCTTTGCAATATAAACTTGATCTAAAAACTCCACACCTTTTTAAAGTCCTTTTTTCCTATAGAAAAGTGAACAGAGCTTGTCCACTGGATCTTGTCTATGCCTATTTTCAATTCCATGTAGCCTGGTGAAATCAAAAGGCCTTTCCAAGACAGACTGCCAGTTTCCAGTCACAGAATTGATTTGGCACTGCTGATTAATCTGAAGCGAGATGGTGTGGTTGATTTGGCACTGCTTTTCTTTATCAACCACACCATCTCACTTCAGATTAACCTCTAAGTTTCTCCCACATAGGATAGCAAATCACTAGCAAGAAGATCCTCTCTGTTCTCCAGTCCTGAACACCATTGTGGGCTAAAATGAAATATCTAGGAGTAAAATAACACTCGGCAGAAGCAATAAACACAATCAGCTGAAGTGTGATGTGGAAGCCAATCTCAATTTCTGCCTTTTCAATTGCAAAGCTGGCACCAAAAATGAAAACCTGAAAGTTTTCTTCCCTTATTGAAAGAAGAAAGCAAAAAGAAAATATTTCCTATTTGATGGCTCTGCCCAGCATTCAAAACAAGACAAAGACTGTCACTAGTGGTTTAGCAGGATCTGTCAGTACAATGTTCAGCGTTTCCTCCTCTGTAGATTTTTCCACATTCTTCAAATAACTGCAGTTGCATCAAGCTGCTGTTGCTCAAAGGCATATCCACATAAATAAGTGGAGCAACCTCACCGGTGACAAGTTTATTCTGGTTCTCTTCTTCCTCTCAGAACTATCAGAAGAAACAAAACCTTCTTTGTTATGTAGGTTATTTCCAGAAGCAAACTGGAAGAGCATTCGCAACCAGATTTTGATACATCACTTGGAAGCAAAACAACTGATTTCAGAGATCTTAGACACAACTGCCTTTGTCATGTTGTTGGCTTCTTTGACTCTTCTTTTATGATGTTTAGCTCTAGAAAGACATGTCCTTTTTCACAGAATATTGTCACTATCCTTTTCAGTTTCAACACAGATGTTATCACTGAAAACCACGACTCAGTTGCACCTGTGAACAAACACGAACGAGTCCAGGAGCTCCTAAACAACTGTGTACTGACTTAACCAAACTGCCTCTGGCCACAATCACGCATTATATATGAGTACCATGCAACGAATTGCAACATGCTAGGTGTTAGACTATTTTATCCCTGGATAAAATGGCAGACCAGACACAGCAACTTTGTGGCATGGAAGTATCCTGTGATAATTTTAATGTGTGACCAGTTAGCATGTGAGAATTTGTTGCGTGAAACTCATATAACGTGCAACAAATGTACCATTTGCCCGTGGCCTGTTATAGAAAGCACTTGGTGTCTCCGGTTGTTCAACAGCGAACTCTGAAATGTTGTCACATTGCCCTTTTTTAAGAGAATTATTGCCAGCAAATACTACATGTTTTACATGTGTATCCCTAACTTTGCCTACTTCACCTATCCTGGAGGCTGGCACGGCATCTCATCGTGGAAGGATTGCAAGGTCTGAAGCCAGAACCTGTTTTACTGAGGAACAGTATACAGGCTTCGGGACAGCTGCCCTCCCTTCTTTCTCTATGAATGAGATTTTCAAACATATTCAGCACTGCCCTACCTCTGTTCCCAGTGAGCGCCATGATAAGTACCACCACTGTATTCAATGGAAGAACAATTAAACCAACTTGGAGTAAGATATGATCACAGGCTCAGAAGACTTCAATTTCCTGTTTAATCCAAGGCTTCCACCACGCCTGTTAACTAGCCACTGTGTATTTCTATCTGTCGAAACAGTGACAGCATAGCAGTGAAGACTAAAAAATACCCACCGTTTTATTTTTTAAGCATATCAACTGGTAATCTTGCCAAAACACAGGATTAGGTTATTTATTATGATACCTTTACTAATGAAGTGTGAGGTACTTTGACTCTCTGTATGTGATCTGTGAACATAGGAGGAACTTCCACCTGTATATTCCATAGTAGCGGGGGAGCACCAAGCATATAGGAGTCAACAAATTCACCTGAGGGAGACAGAATTTGCAGTGAGTACAAAACACTAGATATCTTCTGAGACCTGCATTTAAGTCATGCCATATCTGTGCCTATTCTGTTGATTTCCTGTTAAGATGGTTAAGTCAGATATCAAGAGATCCCTCTGTTAATCTATACTAATTTTCTGCTCTATCCCATTAAGTAGAATTATATAAAACAATGTGATTACACTCATAATAAATCCTACTAAGATATTAGCTGCTAATTTATGCTTATCTAACTGTTTAGAATTAATCCTCCCCAATTTTAGAGACACTCATATCCATTCTCATGAGCAGACCCAGTTGAAATCGTTGGTAGTAAAGTGCATTCATAAGTGTTTATAGATTATTATTAATCACAAGTGTACTAAATTTGGATCTTAACAATACGTCTACTTAGCTCTCAATTGTACTTTACATCAGTAGATCTTGAGGTGCTTTGTGAAGGAAGCTACTATCATTACCCCCATTTTATAGGTAGGGAAACTGAGGCATAGAGCAAGAACTGGAAGAGTTAGGTGTATGTCTTCTGGGTTACAGTCCAGTTCTTTTAGTTTCTAGGCCATATAGAACTGGCTCCATGTCCAGTTTGCCTGTAAAAGTGTCTCTGACATACAGAATGGGCACGGATCTTGAAAAGAACAAAGTTATACACTGTGTGAAAACCAAATGCAGTGCATTTGTTTCTACTTTCTTCCTGTGGAACAGTGCTTTTCCAAACCCAAATATAATAAGGCCCCCAAATAAAATCCGCCAGTAAAGACGTAGTGCGTCTAGAGACAGCCAAAAAACCCGCAAAACATCCTTAAAGGTCAAGTAATTTTTAACCTACAGATTTCAAAAAAGGAATGACTTTTCTTATTCAAATGCTTTATTAAACTGGAAAAAAAAATTAGAGGCAAGAATTTCTGTCGGTGACCTCTTCTATTGGGCCAACTGCACAGTTGGGATAGACTTAGACCAGCTTTTGGTATCATTTTTGCAGAGTTTGTCTTTGGTTCCTCCTTCCTCTGTCATACTATTTTTTCATTTTGCAGTAAAGCTGTGAAGCCAAGACTTGTGCTTGATGCTGTACAAAAACAGGGGGAGAAAAGGCAATCCCTACTCCAGATAGCTTACAATCCATATTAAAATGAGGGACCACGGGCTTATCTCTTTATTTTTTAAATTTTCCTGTCTTTTTTCCTGAAAAAAAGGGGGGGGGGGAACCTGAAAAAAGACTACTAAAAATGTTTCATTCTAATATGTAACCAAAAAAACTAATTAAAACAAAATGTTTAAAAACTGAAATTTCCTTGTAAATATTTCATTTTTAAAACAATTTAAAAAAAGAATCCTTCCAAGTGAAAAACTGTGACCTACTCGAGACATGACTTAAAAGCAGAACCCAAATGTCTTCCACTTTGCCATCTCCTAGTCAATGTTTCACCTCTTTTGTTGTAAATGTATGTGAAATACAGTATAATTAAGTGGAAATCTTCAGTACAGCTCAGAATGTTCATTGGTTTTCTTCAGGTATTTAATTTATCTCCATATCCAAGATAGTTTTTGACCCATGGATTTTCTATCATGCTTAGTATGTATAATGAAGGGTCATAATATTTCTATAAGGGCCTATTGTATTGTTAAAAACTGCAGTTAGGTAGCTGATTAAGAGGCCACATTTCCTCAGCACATTATTCATTGTCTTCTCATAAAAATGTGTGTCACAGCCATGAAAACATTTTCATTAGAAGAGAAAAATCATATAAGATTTATACCAGGAGCCTACTTACCATTGTAAGGCACTGTCTTCACGTCCGTGCACCTTGTTTCAGTGAAAGTCTCCAGAGAATACTAAAAAAAAAAAATTAATTACAAGCTATAAACAAAATAAAAGTAACAATTCCAGTGTAGGAGTTAAGAGGTTATTCATACAGCCCGTAAAAAAATCTAGTTAAGACTATAGCTGTATAGTCTAAGAAACAAGCCTTTCCATTGACCAAAAGGCCATCGCAATGCAATCAAATAATTAACCTACAATAGCAGGTTCTAAACCAAGCCATCGCTGAGGATTTATAAAGTAATTAGGACAGGTTTGTGTTCCTTGTTATTTCTTTCTCTTATTGCCTTTCCTTTCTGTTTCCCCTACAATGTAAAGCACGCCAAGATCTGTCAAAGAAGGCATCAGTCAAGTTGCGATTGCAATCAGTGGGAAAAATTCCACCAACTTGAATCTGTCTCGGACCAAGTTGTAAAAGATGAACTTACTCTGTAGGTGTTAAATGGCTTTAGATCCCGAAATACCATTTCTATGGCTGGAGTTCTGCTATAGCACAATTTACTGTCTGCATACTTTATGAAAGCGTCTCTGGCTGTATCTTCTGAGACAGCAGGAATGCTAAAAAATAAGTAAATAAAAGACAACAGGGGTAAGAGACTCTGGAAGTGTTTGTCCTAAGGATCAGTTACAAAGGTACATGGGACCATATGCAAATGTTAGACACGCTTATATAAAATCCCTGGGTTTGCTGACATAAGTCTAAGTACACCCAGAGGTGCTCATGCTGATCGTGGTTATGCAAATATATCTTGATGTACCCTTGTATTATAGGGACTCACTTATTATCTGAGAAGTGTGTAAATGGAGAAGAGCCCTCCAGAACGCAGAAGACCAAAGCTTGACTGGCTCTTGACCCTTGACGTTTCTTGACTGGTTTTTGGCCAAAAAGCCTTCACTCTTCTTTTGAGAAGCAAGCCAACTGTCTGCCATGGTCATAGAATCCTAGAAAAGCAGGCTGGAAGGGCTCTTCAGAGGTTACCTAGTCTAACCACACCACCAGAAGCAGGATAATCCCTATCCATATTGGCTTCAATATACACATGCACCAGTTGTTCCTCACTAGTATCAATCCCCTTATTTCGTAAAGGATGTAAGGTCAACATTATCCATTGCCATGACACTAAAGGAAGGTGTGCAACTTACTTCCAGTTTGTTTGTGATGGAGGTGGCCCATCCTTACGCTTGTTAAGCAACTCTGGTGGGGGTGGTACGTCGCTTCCTGTAGTGAGAAAATGAAAAAAGAAGTTGGTGCTCCTTCTCCCTCAGCCCCTGTCTGCTTTTGACAGAAGGGTAAGTTACATTGATTCCTTTCCTAGCCCATGAGATTTTTTTCCAGCCAGCACAGGAGACCAATGAAATGTCAGAGGAAAAGTGATCCAATGGGGGGAAGACAGTAGGGCTGTGCAAAGCTTCGGTCCCTAATTCAATTCGGCAGAGGTTCGGCCCTATTCGGTGGCCGAACGTCCAAATCCAAATCAAATCAAAGGACCCTTTAATCTCTCCAAATCAATTCAGAGAGGCTCAGAAATAGTCAGAGATCTGGACACAGACACAGCTTTACATGATTTTTCTGCATACCTCAAGGTACCAGGCAGCTAATGAATGCTGTGGTGCTGGGGCGCGTGGAGTGTCCCACAGATGTTCAGGGGGCTCCTCAGTACGTGCAGCAGCAGACCCAGAAGTGGACCAGAAGCACTGCCCCCCCAGCACCCCTCCAGCTCAGCGACTGATGCCTCCTGGGTCTGGAGGGGCACCTGGGGTCCCCCCACAGCCGATCACCGAGCCAGGGAGGCACAGGGGGCAGGCCCCAGCACACTCCCCAGTGGAAGAACTTCCAGTCAACTTTCAGGTTCGCCATCGAGCACGTGGAGGGCCCCCCTTGCCCTCCTGTGGGATGCTCCATCCGCCCCAGCATTGCAGCATTCACAAGCCACGCTGGTACCTCGAGGTATGTAGAAAAAACATTTAAAAGTTGTGCCCGCGTCCGAATCACTGACTCTCTGAATCAGCATTGAATCTGCAGATTTGGATAAATCCAAATTGAATCAGGAACAGTGATCCGAATCAATGAATCAAACCACTGTCCCTGATTTGGGCCAAACCTGAATCCGAATCGAATAGGGATTTCATACACCCGTAGAAGACAGTGAGAAGTATTTCAGTGGAGAAAAGAGTGGCAATTGCTTGAAATTACAGCTTCAACATGCCTTTCCCTTCTATCTCCCCTCAAATGTAAAGCATGCCAAGATCTGTCAAAGTGCTGAATCAGCTCCTATTCCAATCAATGGGAAACCTTAAAAACCTTGACAGCTGTTTGATCCCAATGGACTACCTTTCCCACTCCACCCATCACTTGACAGAGATTGATTTGGGAGGGAAATGCTGCATGATTCTTCCATGAGTTCTCTTATTTTTAGTATTAAAACAGTGCTGATTTGGGGATTAATTGAATGAAGAACACTACAACCTGTGCACCTAATTGCATCTTTATCTTTAATGCTTTACATTGAAAAAAAAAGTTATAGTAGAAGGTCAGGTGAAACGAGTCACTTTCCCAAATATGTTCTAGTCATCCAAATGCTAAGCCTTCAAAATGCCAGGGATAAAAGAACACATTTGGGAATATAAAGAACACCTGCAGTGACAAGCACTTGTTACAAAACACTCAGAATTGTTTTAGAGGAACAGACACAGCCACAGGGAAAAAAAAGTCACAGTGTAGTGGAGGCGAAGGGGAGGAAGGGGAATAGATGTGTACTTACCACTACTTCTAGGGAATGTGCCTTCATAGTCAGACGTATAGTCTATCAGATGAGGGTGGGGAGCAGAAGGTCCTTCTGCTTGAGCAATGTGATAAGGAGCAATGGCATCTACCGGACAAAAAATTTAGCAGTAGAAAATTATCATAATGTTCTTATTCAACCATGCAACAACTCAATGAGGAACCTAATGGATACAGGGAGTACTGCCTTTCGGGCTCAGGTCTCTACCCAGTTGTATCACACTTCTCTGTGTATGCAAAATAGGCCTGAAATCTCGTACTGAAATTCTGTTTTCGTGGAAGCTCTGGCACTTTGATTCTTGCTGCACTGGAAATGACACTAAGACTTCTCTTGCACACTGTCATTCTTTCTTCTTTCGGTTCTGGCCAGACCAAGGCAGCATACACACGCACAAAATGAAGTATACCCTGGGGAAATATATTATTCTTTTTTCTTTCTGTACAGATAAACTGTGGGCAAACACCCAAGTCACCTCTCTTCAATAAAGTCCATATTTGGGTAGCTGAAATAGATATGCAAGGGGAACTCAGGGGTTGTTTTTAATCTGCCTGTAGCCAACCATGACTCATGCGACTCAGTAGCAATATCTCTACATGTTTCCAGAGAGATACCATGAGATTTCAGAAGGTGCTGTGTCAAATCTTTTTGTCTAACAGTAAGGGTAATATGAGGAATCAAAGATGGGGAGAATCAGGTGGTAAATATATTCTCAGGTTCAGATAAATGGAGCTCTTCAGAAGAAAAAAAGTCTCTTGCTGGGTTTAGCTCCAATGTATTGGGCCAAGGTGAAAGTTTTATTTAAAGCAATTTTACAAGCACCAACCTTGAAAGCAAACAATATAAATGACTCTGCACTGACTGGGCACTGATTCCCATCGATTAAGATGATTTTGGAGTTTCTAATAAAAATAAGAACTTTATACAAAAGTCCATTTTCAGCTCCTCAGCAAATACTGACTCAGCAAACAGTAAGTTGTGCTTCCTTGGGGTTTGAGTTCCTCAGGAAATCCACAGATGACCAAAAAAACCCGATTGTTACCCCGACTCCATGCGGCGCCCAACAACTACGGAGACGACAATCCAATCACTCATGAGTCCTGCTACTTATTAGCCAGAGCAGACAGGGAGCAAACACTACTTGCACACATTGCTCGCAACAGCTTAATTCAATATAGAGACAGCTTCGGATGAGCTCCCATATTTATACAGGCATACCCCATTTTATTGCGCTTCGCTTTATTGCGCTTCGCAGATATTGCGTTTTTTACAAATTGAGGCAAGACCCTCCACCAGCAAAAAGATTACGACTCGCTGAAGGCTCAGATGATGGTTAGCATTTTTTAGCAACAACGTATTTTTTAATTAAGGTATGTACATTGTTTTTTTAGACATAATGCTATTGCACACTTAATAGACTACAGTATAGTGTAAACATAACTTTTATATGCACTGGGAAACCAAAAAATTCGTGTGACTCGCTTTATTGCGATATTCGCTTTATTGCGGTGGTCTGGAACCGAACCCGCAATATCTCCGAGGTATGCCTGTACATTGTGGTTTATACACATTAACATTCACTCTACCCTCGCCCCTCCTATGTTCCACCCATTTCTCCTCCCATCTCGAGCTCCATCTCTGTTTACTGTTTGCTTCATTAGCATGGAATTGCCTATGCATTTTACTCATTTACATGGCTTTTTGCTATGAGCGCATGTCTAGGGCCATGAACTCCCTTCTTTCGGACAATGGGCGGACTTTGGAGGTTTCTTTACCAAACACCATTCACCCATTTTGCATATGTTCATACTGGTTATGTGTCATCTTCCACATTCCAATCTGTTTTTCTGTCCCAAATTGTGCCATCCCCACCCTTTTTTGGACCCCTGTATCTTATTTTGCTTCTTGCCGTAGCTGGTTCACAGCACACAGACTTAATTGCTGCTTTTTTCCAGAAAAATAGTTAACACAATTTAAAATGGTTACGTAACATAAGCACTCATAAACAAACTCTTATATATAAAACCTATATATCTCACAAAAATACTATTATATGGTTAAAACCTACTTGCCTAAGCATTCACAAAGTTATTTTTAATATATCATTCAGCCTTGTGGTCAGCAGCTTTGCTGAGACACAGATTAAAGCCTTGTTCCAGCTGCAGATCCAACGCTCCCCAAAAATCCATGTACCCTAACACCGATCTTTTATATGCAGTACTAAAAATTGAGTTTCTTTTTGCCCTACTCGGAGAAAGAGCTCTCTCTCATAAAACCTGCTATGTCAGTAACCCTGAAGAGTTGGGTCTAATTAAAGAGTCATCTTTAAATGGTAACACTTAGTAGTGCAAGAATGCAACAGTTCCTTCAACCGACTCTGAATTACTTGGCCAATGCAGCTAGTTAAGTGTGTTGTAATTCTAAGGTACATTAGCAGAAATGTTAGGACCAGATTGTAACCAGATTGATTACAAATAACTTCAGAGGGTATTTAAATGATATGGACAGATTTTTAGTTGAAGTAAATTGGTGTAGCCTTACTTTACAAATGGAGTTTTGCTGATTAGCAACAACTGAGGATATGGTAGCCGTATAATTTACAATACATTCTGGACATCTGTTTTTGCACTATCATCATGATAGTCACAGATTGCTAACTTTCCTTACCGAAGTGTTCTTGATTGGTTACTTCATGGCTCTGATGAACAGCTCCATAACTCCGATGATTGACACCTCTGGTCAAAATAAAAAACAGACAGGAAAACAGGTGTCGGAATAAATGCATAGAAAGATGGCAATGCAGCTACAGACATGGAGAAACAAGAAAAGTGGAGCAATGCCGAAGGACATAAAAAGCAAGATCCTAAGAAAAATGCTTAACTCTATGGAAACGCTAGGTCCTCATCAACTGAAAAAAATCAGGCTGCTAAATCAGGAATTAGGTAACTAGCTTCTGTTGCACAACCATTAATTTGAAAGATATAAAGTGTGGTAGCTTTGTATTTCACAAGTCAAGTCAGATATAACTCTAATTTACAGACTGCTGCACATAGGTTTCAAGAAATATGACACCTGTAAACTGATGGATATTCCTATGCAGATTCTGAAAGAAGACTTCTGATGCAATTAAATGTCCATTTCTTGAGGAAAAAAAATTCGAACATAATTGACATCAAATATAGTAACGTCATTGAAGATGTCACACACAAAGGTAATTGGCATTTTCTTTCTGAACCCTGTCTTCAGGTATGTAAAATTACCCTAAAAAATTTGATCTAAAATGAAATGGTGTAATAAATCTGTCTCTTATTAGCCTACGCAATGCCCTTGACATTTTGTATTTCTCAATAACTGTTGTGGCACAGAATACTAGCTTTCATACGTAAAGCAACTGCCAAAAAGATTCTCGGTATCTGAAAGTTCAGTTTAAAGATTTCTGCGAGATCAAAAACTTAAAACCAAACTGGAATGATTCTGCAAAAGCAGGGACCAAGTAATACTTTTACACAACTAAACTAAGTCTGTTTTCATGGTCAATGCTTGAAATACAAGAGAACAGAAGGAGTCAGTGCTTACACCTGTTTCATATTTCATTATCATCTCATTTCTATCTGAGTCTCTGGCTGCGGTTAGTGTCTGGAAGAAGAACAGTTGAATAAACCTGAAACAAGGAAAGGCTAAGGTGATAATGATAAGAGGGAAGTGCAGAGAAACTTCCTCCATAGCATCACTCTCCAATGAAGGCATCAAGCGTCATATGGGAAACTACATTCAGCTGGAATGACGGAATAGTCAGCTGCAAAAGAAAACTCAAGGGGCGCGTCCAGACAACGCACACATGCCTCTTGCAGTGTCTCAAACCAGTTTGAGATGCCGCAAGAGGCATGCTGAGAATGAAAAAAATGTTCCCCACACTGCATATTTGCAGAGCAGGCTCTGAATTCAATACGTGGATTTCCAAGTATCAAAACAAAACAAACCAAAAACAGAAAAAAGCAGGGCAGGGCATAATTCCCCAGCATGCCCTGAGGCAAGTCAGGGCTTGGACCTTCATAGAAGCTCTGGCATCCAGCCAGAGCATCTCAATGGTGCCCCTGCTGCCCTACCACTCTGCATTCATGTGCTGGGGGCAAGCAGGAGTGGTGCAAAGCTGCGGCGTGATCCAGGCTCCATCCCAGGTAAGTGGGGACCGGGGAACTCTGGGGGGGGGCTACTCAGGAGGGGTGAGTCCCCTATCTGCCCCCCGCATGGCCCACAGCCCCCTCTGAAGCATCATCGGGGTGCTTGGGCAGCACAGCATGGCCCTGGCCACCTGGCATCTGGGACTCCCCATGCTACATTGCGTGGGCCCAACCCAGCCCAGTACAAGGTTGTGCACCTTCAGACAGGACTGGGCCACTCAGGCTGTCACCTGGGGTCTGGCACTGCTCGCAGGGACTGCATGTCACACTGGGCCAGGTTCTGTGTGCATGGGCCCCGCATGCCATTGGACTGGGCCAATTCTGTGGAGGCAAGACCTGGCCCGGTGCAACACACAGTCCCTACAAGCACTGCTGGGCCCCAGGTGACAGCTCAAGTGGCCCAGTGCTGGCTGAAGGTGCATGGCCCTGAGCTGAGCCAAGCTGGGCCCACCACAAACTACACAGCCAGCACTGGGTCTGAGACAGCCAGGGCCATGCTGTGCTATGGAGGGGCTCTGACAACAGTGGGTCTTGAGTGCCTGATGGCCGCTGCTGCTGCTGGGG